TGTGTATTTGTGTGTGTGTGTGTGTGTGTGTCAGTTCGTATATATGAACGTTTTTTAAATGAATTGAATTTTGTGTTTGAGCTTTTATTGTCAGAAAGAATGTATCTGAAATTATAATCCACATTACTATGAGTTACTTAGTTTTATACTAACTACAGAATTGATTTGGAGCCTATGTAGTATGGATTTAAAATGCAATCTTCTTGGAGTGAGAGCAAGTGTAGCAGGTAGCGCGTTTGCCTTGCACATGGCCAACTTGAGTTTGATCTCCGGCACCTCATATGGTCCCTCAGGCACTACCAGGAGTGATCCCTGAGTGTAGAGCCAGGAGTAAACCTTGAACACCACCACCATTAAAAAAAAATAAAATAAAATAATAAAAATTAAAATGCAATCTTGCTCTGCTTCTTCTAAGTTGAAAGTCTGAACCTTGGTAATTGACTACCAATTACATGTCAGTAAGACTAGCATTAATAGCACTAGTAAAATATTTAATCAGGGAGTCAACTTAACAATTCTGATAATAAATGACAGTTTATTATTTAATGCCACTTTCTGCTTGCAGGATCCCCGCCTCCCCATTCTGTACATGATAAATCATTATTATAAATAATAGATATCTGATTCACACCATAAAACACAGGTTTGGGAGGGATGTCAAAATTCTTATATTTTACTAGTTGAGTTATTTCTCAGGTGAGAATTTCAGTTTTGGGGGTAGGAATTGTTTCATGCATCTCATAATCTAATTGTTAGTAAATACTTCAGAACACTTTTAGAGATTCTTAACTTCCTCAATGATTCCATTACAGTTAATTTGAGCTGAAAACTGACTTCTTCTAACTTCCACCAGTTGTTCCGAATCTTTCTGTAGAGCCTTATTGAACAAATAGCCATTGAGAAGACATCTTTTGAAATATTTGAAATATTTTGAAATATTTGAAGACAGTTTGTCCTCAATCTTCCACTGTTCCTTTCTGATGATAATTTTTAGTTCTCTCATCTCCTGTGTCTAGAAATCTGGTGCTCATAATAAATAAATTAATTTATGTGTATTAAATTACTCTTTCAGAAGCTATGTGTATGCATAAACTTAGATTTTCTTAGTATTTTAGGCAAACACACCAGGCCACTGTGTCAGTGGATCTTGCTATTCAGCAACATTCTAGTAAGAACCCCAGCCTAAATATTTTCTTCATGGACTGCTTCTTTTTTTTAGATTAATCACTTTTATTCTGTACTGATTTTGTTTGGATTGAACCTTTATTAGAATTACAGCAGTGAATGACATGGTTAGTTTTCAGTGGATGCTATATGTCATATGAGCCACATGAAGATAGATAGATAGATAGATAGATAGATAGATAGATAGATAACTGGAAAACAGAGAGGTAATTTTTACAGATCACAAAGTCAGTAAATGATGGCACCAGGGTTTGAACGCAGACTAGTTTCAGCAACCTCTGACAGAAATCATATTCAGCATCTCATAATAGAATTTGAATTGAGAATAAGCAGCAGTAGTATGGTAGTGTAGAATTTTTATCTTTCTTATCTGCCACATAATTCATTGGACTTGCATTATGGGGTGCTAGTGTAAGAATGGATTTCAGAGATATCTGGTCAGTATCCCTATCTTCTAGCACATAGAAGTGAGATCCAGGCTGTGCAAAAACTTGTCGTGTCTGAGACATAGAAAGATGGGGCCGAGCTCAGGCCAGAACGTGGTGGCTTTCTATTGAATTCCAAAATGCTACTTTGTACAATTTCCTTTCTCTTCTCCCTTCTTACCCTTTCCCCTTCCTTCCTCCCTTCCTTTCCTGTCTTCTCTCCTTCACCTATGGTCCTATAAGCATTAAAACAGCAATAACAATAATAAAACATACATCAAAAGAATTGCTTAAAATCCTACCATATGTTTTAAATTACTTTCCCTTGTTGCCAAATTCTGAATCTGTGAGTTCTCTGTCATTTTAGGTTATGACATAGATTCAAGAATCTCATCAGATATGTCTTAAAGTTGCACTGATTTAAATGTCACCATTAAAATATTTTGCTTTTATAAAGAAGATCCATGGGCCACAATCAGAAAGGAGGGACAGAATTGCTCTCATTTATGAGATCCTGCTGTCTGCGTCGATCACTCTTCCCAGCCCTCTGCCTCTGACATCCAAACTCTTTCCCTCTACATAGAATTCGATGTCAGTAAGAACACATCACCTTGTTCCACACTTGATAAATGAGGAAATGAAAGAAGTGCTTTGAATCCTGCAGAAGGAAGAGATGACATGTACAAACTGCTCCCGTTCATTGACTGTTGGCTTTCGGTTCTTTTTATGTGCCATTTATTTCACTGCCATTGAGGCAGTCATGTGCAGGACGCTATAATATGCTATTTCCAGTGATAAAATTTGTTCTTTGCCTTTAAATCAACAAAATGCGGTAGGTCATGATTCGAAGTGATTCCTCCATTTAATCAAGTTTCTTTAATTTCCTTGGCCACAAATCGTATTTGCTAAGGAAATTTCCTCTGGGGGAATGTTTACCTTGCCAGCGAGGACAGTTCTGTCCTGATGATGCTCTGACAACTGAGTACTTCAAGAATATCAACTGCAGAGGCAGAGTTTTCTCTGAGCAGTCAACTATGACCTAATAGTGGTTTGTTGGCAAAGGATAACTTAAAATAGCATTGGTCTCTTTTCAGACATAATCAATTGTAACAAAAACTCTTTCCGCTGAGCTTTGAAACATGTAGGATCATTTTTTTAAGTTATCATGAGAGAATATGGCCCTAGTGACGCTTGAATGTCCATGTCCCAGCTCTCTTAGGATAAGCTGAAGAAACACTGGTATCAATTCAGTGACCTCAATTTGCACTCCCAACTTTATCACCAATTTTGGTGTGCTGTTATAAAACGGAGGCAACTATTCAATCGAGGAATTGTTCATTTGCTTCATTTCTGTCTTTACCACTTAGAGTGCACTAAAAATTAATTTTTAGATAAATGCTGTAGCATAAATAGTCCAATCATTTCATTAATATTTTTTAAATATTAAGACTTATTAAATATAAAAAGTAAAGGTTGAGCATGAGTTAAAAAGGCTTACATTGGTATTTCTTTTTCTTTGAAAATTTTCAGTAGACTCAAAATGTTCAAGTGACTTACCTTGATTTCCCTCCTAAAAGAGTCTTTTGGTTAAAAATCTATATGCATACATTCATGCATGTACGCAGGCATGCATGCATCCATCGTCTATCTTATGGCTATCATTTATTCAAACCTCTTGGAAGTGCTATGTCACTCTCTCCCTCTCCACATACTTGTTACACATACTTGTAACACATGAACATATGCAAGTTTTAACATGCACTCACCAAAAATTACAAATAGATATGGAGAAAACTAGAATTCACATTTTCAATCAGGAATCTAAAGGCTGAGTGTGATAGCTTTTTATATCATCATGGTGACCTCCAATATATAATAGCAGTTTTTATGCATGAACATTATCATTTATTCTTAGCCTGTTGGTAGCAGGGTAAGTGGAAGAGTAATTGTTAGCTGATTTTCATATGAACAGTTTTTAAATGTCTAAAGATAAAAAGACTCAGATTCCCCAATTAGGTAGTGCAATGAGAAAATACTTTTAAAATTTCTCACAGGAAAAAAAAGCCACCATTATTCTTACTTGTTCATGCGTGGGAATGGGTGAAAAAGAAAGGTAGTGAGTTTTTCCTTTTATATCGAAGGAGGTAGAATGTTCAAAGAGAATGCGGGGTGTGTGTGTGTGTGTGTGTGTGTGTGTGTGTGTGTGTGTGTGTGTGTGTGTTTCTAGAAATACAAGAGTTAAGCGTAGTCTGCATCTACTAGGTTCCATTTCTTCAGAGACTCTCTGTAAAACTGCTACTTGAGCACCTCTGTGTGTTCTTTAGACTGAGTTCATGGTTGAGGGGTTGAGATTATATAAAGCAAATCCCTGCCCAGATACTATGATCCTGGATGGGTAGAACAGACAAATAAATAAGAACCATTTTTCCTCTCTTTTATATTAAATTGAGGTGATGTTTGGTCAAGCAAAACTTTTTGTAAAAACATCATTTCTTTGGTTTCCATTCATTACGCACTATCTTCTAATGTGCTTTTAACATGAACTCATAACATGTTGGAATTTTCAGATATTAAATTCTTTGAAATGATATTGAAGGTGGCTTTCTCTAAAGAGGATTTGTTTTTTTTTTTTAACCAGAACCTGAAAATATTTTCAGAATCTTTAAGCCCAGGATATCTATTTTTGGACTACCCAATTAGTACACGTAAGTTTGGGCTACAAATTCTCATGTGGGCCAACTTGTGACTATGAATTATTAGTGGAGTTTACTTATCCTTAACCCTTGGTGTTCAAGAAGAGTAGTTTTCCTTGCAAACCTAGAGGTTGGTTTTGTTTTCAAATCACTTTTCTTCAGATAGTTTGGTAGTCAGCTTTATGTAGCGATGACCCTGAGCTTAATGTTGAGTTCATGGAGTACAAACTATTTTTACCATACCAGCTAGATTTTCACTTCCATATGGGATGCCAAGAATTGAACCCGGGTCGGCTGCATGCAAGGCAAATGCCCTACCCGCTGTACTATCACTCCAACTCCTTGTTTGGTTCTTCAAATTAAGAAATAGAGTTACAGCTTAAATCCTTAAGCATTTCCACTTAGCCTCCTAACTGACAACCAGTGATTTTTCAGCTGCCAAAAAGGAAACATTTGTCTCAAATATCTGGTTAAAGATAAGCAAAACTTAACTTTATAAAAATTTTAGTCTTGGAGCTGGAGTGATAGCTCAGCAGGTAGGGCGTTTGCTTTGCATGCGGACGACCCGGGTTCGATTCCCAGCATCCCATATGGTCCCCTGAGTGCAGAGCCAGGAATAACCCCTGTGAATCGCTGGGTGTGACCCCAAAAAGCAAAAAAAAATTTAGTCTTGCCTTTTGGCTCTCCGTGCAGTACCATGGCGGTCAGCAAAAACAAGCACCTTACCAAAGGCGGCAAAAAGGGAGCCAAGAAGAAAGTGGTTGATCCGTTTTCTAAGAAAGACTGGTATGCCATGAAAACGCCCGCAATGTTTAATATAAGAAATATTGGGAAAATGCTTGTCACCAGGACCCAGGGGACCAAAATTGCATCCGATGGCCTCAAGCGTTGTGTATTTGAAGTGAGTCTTGCTGATCTGCAGACCGATGAAGTTGCTTTTAGGAAATTCAAGCTGATTATGGAGGATGTTCAGGGCAAATGGTGACCAGCAAGGAACGACATGTTAGCTAGGATGCTTCTAGGTTGCAGTTGTTGAAAAATCAGGCTTCTTTCGGTTCGATGGTCACGATCGTCCTGTTGTTCGTCGATTGCCTCAAGCAGGCCCCAGTAACGTCTCCTTGGTCCTAGTCCTGAGATTTTAAAAAGTGCCATATTCAAGGCTCTTTCAGGGTTAGGAGAATGAGACCCATCATTGTTACTGGTTTTGGCATATTGGGTATGCCATGGGGAGTTTGCCAGACTCTGCTGTGTGGGCAGGTTACATTCGGTAGCCTGCCATGGTGTCCAAAGCAAGAATGAGATAATAAGATGTCTTCTGGGAGCTGGGTTTTATAGTCTCTGGGTCTCGGTCGTTGATGGGATTACTTGGCGGGGGGACGGGGAGGGGGCGGCAGTTGGTGGGTGTGACCCCTGCCTACTGGAAGATGGAGGATCTGGGTGGAGGATGCTCAGGCCCAATTTGAACAGGCTTGGGGATCTCAGCCCCGGGAACCGCTTGCCTTTGTTCCTCTGCCGGTACCTTCATGCATGTGGAGAGTGGTCTCAGCCTGGTTGTGGCTGGTTCTGGAAGTCTTCGGCTGCTGGGGCTCTTTCGGTTCACATACAGTAATATCATCTCACAACAACAATGATATATGAAGGTGTGCATTCATACATGACTTGTTGCTTCACTTGCTTTCCTGAGATCCTGAGGCGCTGGTGTCTTCACCTGACAGGCCTCATCACCACCCAGTAGTAATAAGGTTTCATCAGTTCCAGGGATCATACCCAGACAGTAAATGGAGCAGCCTTTGTGATATCACTAAGGAGCTGGGAGATCCTCCTCACTGCCCTCACCACAGAAAACAGAAATAGAGAACGAGAGAGTGTTTTGCCTTTCTATCTTATGATGGGAACTATCAGAGTAAGGAAGCTAACATGACTTATCTTACGAACCAGTCAGATTCTATCACTGACCTGGCCATAGATAGACTCATGCTCATGTGAGCCTTCTGGGCTTACTGGGTTATTACTAAGTTCTTGTGTGTAAGTTACAAGTAATTTTCTGAATAAAGATTATGGAGACCCCTGGGGGGGGTGCAGTTAGGACAGAGAAGAGACCATTATGACAATAAGGTAAAGGTAAAGGCCCTCCCGTTGTTCGTCGATTTGCTCGAGCGGGCCCAGTAACGTCTCCATTGGAGACTTTGTTGTTACTGTGTCTGGCATATTAAATACGTCACGGGGACACGGGGTGCTCTGCCATGCGGGCGAGATACTCTCGGTAGCTTGCCAGGCTCTCCAAGAGGGGCGGAGGAATCGAACTCCGGTTGGCCATGTTGGCTGCGTGCAAGGCAAACGCCCTACCGCTGTGCTATCGTGCTCGCTTCGGCAGCACATATACTAAAATTGGAACGATACAGAGAAGATTATGACAATGATAGTTGGAAATGATTACTTGGGACAAAAACAGTGCTGAGAGGAGATAAAGTGGTTCACATGATATCCTTTCAGTAACAGTATTGCAAACCACAGTACCTAAAAGGAAAATGAGAAAGAGAGAGAGAGAGAGAGAGAGAGAGAGAGAGAGAGAGAGAGAGAGAGAGAGAGAGGGAGGAAGGGAAGGAGGGAAAGGGAGGGAGAGAACTGGGGATATTGGTGGTGGTAAATGTGCACTGCTGAAGCAATGGGTGTCGGAGCACTGTACGACTGAAACTCAATCATGAACAACTTTATAACTGTATATTTCATGCTGCTTCAATAAAAAAATTTTTGTATAGAGACCCCATTTGGTGTTGGCCTCCACAAACGTAACTGCAGAAGTCTGTGCTCAGCACATTTCAACAATGCCTACAGACTGTGATTGTATGAAGAATCTCATGCAGCTAGTCTGGGCCTCGGGATTGCACTTTAAATTGCTAGAGTAGGTGACCTTTTGTTCTGGAAGCGAAGTTTAAGGCCAAAACAGGAAGTTAGGAAATTATCACATATAAAACTGTTTTGTTCCCCAAAATATGTTGTACATCATTTTTTAGATTCCTAGTAAGTTTGTGGATTCCGCCTGTCCTTTGTCTCTTAGTGGCTATGAAATAGAGACCTTAGTGGGCCACAGGAGTGTCTGTGAGTTTATTTTCTTAAAGGGTTCCCATGAGGAAATCTGAGGGGAGTCAGGACATAGCCTATTGTGTTCTGGTGTTACTTCTCTCTCTCTCTCCTGCCCCCTCCTTTCTCTCTTTTCATCTCTCCTTCTCCCTCTCTGTCTTCATCTCCCTCTCCCTCTCTCTCTATCTTTCTCCCTATCTCTCTATCTCTCCCTATCTCTCTCTCTCTGTGATTTTTGAGCCACACCTAGTGATGCTCATGGCACAATCCCTGTGGTACCCAGGAGACTATTTGGTGGTACCAGGAGTTGAACTTAGGTTGGCCGTGTGCAGGGAAAGTGTTTTACCCACTGTACTTTCTCTCCAGCCACTCACTTTCATTATTATTGTTTTTAAAGAGGGCATACAGCCTGTGCTGCTGAAAGATGGAGAATATGGTATGCAGGTGGGGGGAGGGCGCCGTGGGGCTTAGGGTCTGTTGTGTCAGGGGTCAAATTCACATATGACAGGTGTGTATGTGTGTGCTCTACAAGCTGAGCTGTCTCCCTGGCCCAAGTCATGGTCTTTTGAATGGTAAGCTTAAAACTTGTCTGTTTTGTAGAATTTAGGTCTTTTCAGTCTAAAATTAACACCATAGTTTTTTTGTTTTGTTTTGCTTTGGGTCCATACCCAGGCTTACTCTTGGCTCTGTGCTCAGAGATCACTTCCGGCAGGGTTTGAGGGGCCATCTGTGGTCCCAGGGATGGCAGAGTGAATACCCTGCTATCTCTCCAACCCAATATCATAGCCTTTTAAAGTACAGAATTTTATGAAAATGATGGTCTCTCAGTATCTGTATTGCAAACCATAATGCCCAAAAGTAGAGAGAAAGTAAGAGGGAAATTGTCTGCCATAGAGGTGGGGGTGGGGTAGGGGGTGGGATGAGGGGGAAGGATACTGGAGATATTGGTGGTGGAAAATGTACACTGGTGGAGGGATGGATGTTCGATCATTGTATGACTGAAATTCAAACATGAATGCTTTGTAACTGTATCTCACGGTGATTCAATAAAAACAAAATCGTTTTATGAATTTTTTTTTAATCACGGTAGACATCTAAGAATGGTGTAGATAGTTCGACAGTTCCCTGGGGCAGGGTGGGTGGGAGAGGTCCTTGGGACATTGGTGGAGGGAAGCAAGAACTCTAATGGGTGTGGTATGAGAATGATGCATTCGTGAAACTTGAGCAGTACTGGAAAGCATGTTGTTAATTCTTTTAGTGTAATTTAGCAGCTTGTTTACGTCTTCACAAAATATCCTCCAACTTATTGGATCTCTACAGTCCTCTATGCTCTATAATTTCTATGTCTCTTTAGGACAGAGTTTATTATTTACCACATTTCCTTTATAGACTACACAGATACTATTAAACATAGATGTCACTGCTAGCATAAAAGGCATTTTTAAGGTTAAAAAAAAATCTGATACTCTTTATTAAATCAACAGTGGTTTGCAGTTTTTTTCTTACTAAAGCTTGCCTAACCGGACAGTAAGCATTCATTAAATTTGAGGGAGAAAAAGTTTCATTTAACATAGAACCAGCAAGGAAGAGAGTTAACTCAATTGACTGAGGTCATGCTTTGCATGTGGGAAGCCTGGGTTTGATCCCCATTACTACATGGTCCCCTGAACAATGCTAGGAGTAACCCTTGAGCACAGAGCCAGCAGTAGCGCCCCAGTACCACTGGATGTGGCCTCCAAATAAAAACATTAAGGACCCGAGAGATAGTATAGAAGTTCGACGTTTGACTTGAATGTGACTGACCTGATCCTGGTTTGGTTTCCAACATTGCATTGAGTCTCTTGAGCACAACCAGGAGTAAACTTTTCTGAGTGTGATCTCAAATCCCCAGAACAAGGGAACAAAAATGTAAAAACAACAGCAGAGCAACATAAGGTTAGCATATAATAGGCTTCAGTAAAATTAGTTCCTCTTTACTCATACTCTCAAAATTTCCCAGGATAAGGTAGGAAATAAGGAAAATCCTCTGCTTCAAAAAATTTATAGCTAGGAATTTGTTGTACAGATATTAAATGAAAAAAAAAAAGCTGGGGCAGAGCGATAGTACAGTGGGTAGGGTGCTTGCCTTGCATGGGGCTAACCCGGGTTTGATCCCTGGCATAATCACGGTCCTCCCGTTGTTCATCGATTTGCTCGAGCGGGCCCAGTAACGTCTCCATCATGAGACTTGTTGTTACTATGTGTGGCATATCGAATACCTCACGGGTAGCTTGCCAGGCTCTGCCGTGCAGGCGAGATACTCTCGGTAGCTTGCTGGGCTCTCCGAGAGGGGCGGAGGAATTGAACCCGCCTCGGCCATGTTGGCCGCTTGTAAGGCAAACACCCTACCGCTGTGCTATCGCTCCACCAGGAGTGATTCCTGAGTAAGCCCTGAGCACTGCTGGGTATAACGCATAAGAAAAAAAAGAAAAGAAAGCTGGTTAAAAAACTACACAAGGCACATAAAGTTCCCTTTTCATACAGAGGAAAAAGTTTGTCATCTGGAAAGGTGTGAAAGAAGATGGAACTTAGGAGTTCAAATAAAATTCTGTCCCATTTGCACCTCTATTGTAAATATGTAAATAATTAAATATATTATTTAAATGATAGCATAGCACGTAGAGCGTTTGCCATGCATGCAGCCGACCCGGGTATTCGATATTCCAAATCTCCCACTACTTGATGGTCAGACTTCTTCGTCAAGACCCTGAACCCTGGAGTGATAGCACAGCGGGTAGAGTGTTTGCCTTGCATGCGGCTGACCCAGGTTCGATTCCCAGCATCCCATATGGTCCCCTGATCACCGCCAGGGATAATTCCTGAGTGCAGAGCCAGGAATGACCCCTGTGCATCGCCGGGTATGAC